ATTATACATTTATATATCACTGACATGTACCACAGTGGTGTACAGAGAACACTGAGCCAGTCACATCAGTCTCTGTACAGAGGAGCTTACACTCTAATGTCTCTCCACGTTAACAAACTATGTGACTGGCTCAGTGTTTTCTGTACAGCACTGCGGTATATGTCAATGCAATGTAAATGTATAATAATATGGGGGGTGTCTGTGGTCAGGTCTGAGGTAAGCCTTTGTGGAGAGCAGAATCTGCCCGGTGACTCTAATCCCGCCCTGTGATTGGTTCTTGTGGAGGGAGTGCAGCCAATGACAGTGGAGGAGGTGTGAAATCTGAGGTAAAGCTCTTTGGAGGGTAGAATCTGCCTGGTGACTCTCATCGTGCCCTGTGATTGGTTCCTGTGGAGGGAATGCAGCCAATGACAGTGTAGGAGATGTGATTCAGGGACTCTGATTGGCTGTGAGGTTCCCCTCAGCTCCTTCTGTCAGTTACTGAAGTCTGCATCTTGTTTTAGATTAGTGACAGAAGTGATGGAGGAATGGGGGGGAGGGGGCTCAGTTCACTTCTTTCCAACTTGGAATTTCCTCCCTACAACCCCGGAACCGGATGGTGGAGAAGTAAGTATGTTACACCTCCTTCTGTAATGATCCCTCTGAGACTCTACTGAATACAATGCCTGAGGTTTGTACACTTACCCACAGTGGTGTATATGTATTTGGCTGCCCTAGGCAAGCCAAGCTTCGGCCGCCCTCGGCACCTTAACTCTAGTCGCAGGCACCGATTACAAGCCCGGCCAAACCCCCCCCCGGGATTACTTGTACGGACGGGAGCCGGAAAGCGCAGCCGAGGGCGGCTTGCCTGCTTGTGGAGGGCGGCTTGCCTGCTTTTGAAGAGGACGGATGGAGCCGGACAGCGCAGTCAACGGATGGGATTGCGACTCGAGAACGAAAAGCAGCCACTTAATCGATCTCACTGCTTCCTGGGTCACAGCGGCTCGAGTAAGTGGCCGCCGGCTGCTTTTCGTTTTCTGAGTCACGATCCCATCCGTCGGCTGCGCTGTCCGGCTCCATCCGTTCTCCCACCCTCTTCACAAGCAGGCAAGCCGCCCTCCACTCCTACACACAGACGGGCTCCGGCTCGCCCCTCCTCTTCACAACATAGGCGTTTGACTACGGCCGCCCCCCAGGAAAGTGGCGCCCTAGGCAAACACCTACTTTGCCTCGCGGTAAATACGCCCCTGCTTACCCAATATGGGCCGGTAACACATACACTTACAGCGGCCAGAAGAGGACTGGCTTGGGCCTGGAAATCTCCGTCTCTCCCCTCTGCCAGTGTGAAAGCTCTGGTGTCTCCGGTCATGTTCTATGAGAAGCTTACTGCTAGACATAAAGTTTCTCTACATATAAGAAGACATGGACTCCTCGGATTGTCGCCTCCTTTATTATGGATTCCTGAACTCTCTAGTTTCCTGATCTGTATTGGGCTGGTTGGTGCTGCGTGCTATCTCCCTATTTGAGGGTTTACCCCCCTTGGGTGTGTTCTGGACGTTTCGTGTTCCTGGCTTCCTCTGTCCCCTTTCTTCCCTCTCATCTGTGGAAGGCGGCTCTCCCCTTTTATCTCTCTTCCTTCTATTCAGTTTCCTTCTTCTCGCTTTTCTACATATTCTCTAGGGCTGTTACTGATTAAAATTTTCGTGTTCGATTAATCGAAAAAAAATTTCATCGATTAATCGATTAATTATAATGCACATACAGATCCAACTACATTGGCCTATACACATACAGCACAGCAATGAAGTAATAAAATGAACTAGGATCACACTTATCCAGCACGTTATTAATCTCACGTGCCCCACTCAATATGGCCGCCGCTTGAGTGGGGCAACTCAGAATAATAACGTGCTGGATTAGTGTGATCCTAGTTCATTTTATTACTTCATTGCTGTGCTGTATGTGTATAGGTCAATGCCTTGGCTGGTGCTCGTGCAGAAAGTTTAAAAAATCTTTTAACCGATCAAAAAGATTACCGATCAATCGAGAAATTAATCGTTCATTTGCACAGCCCTAATATTCTCCTTTTCTCGGATACATTTTCTTTTTCCTTTTCTCTCAGTTTTGGTTTGGTGCCCCTTGCCTGGCCTGCCTCTTAGTGGGCGTGGGCAGTTTGCTATGATTCAAGTGTCACATATATTGTTCCATGTGTAATGGATGTGGTTAAGTGACTATGATAAAATGCCTATTTCAATATATTGTAATATATATATATGTTATTGCTCCTGTTCATAGTAATCCTTACTCAAAATGGCTGCCTAGTTAGTTGCTCAACTTAGCACTACTATGAGAAGTACGCACTAGAAATAGAAACCAAGATGGCGCCTCCAGGAGAAACTGCACCCAAGACGAGAACGTCAGCACCCTGGAAGGAGGTTACGCTTTAATGAATCAGTCCAATTATAACCTAGAAAGCTATCGCAAATGCTATGTTTACATATACACTATCAGCTGCCTATATAAGACACAACAATGCGGAACAATAAAAAAGAAGTATCTTTACTCTGACTCTCGGTGTCAGCGTGTTTTATTTCTTCACTGATAGTGTGCACACTTTGTACTGAATTAGGGACAGATATACGTCGGATTCTTGATGTCCGAGTCCACAACACATGGATACTTGGGGACGTACGGGCCCCTCATAATGTGTGTATTTGGAATGTAGCACTTCATCACATTATTGGATCTCTTTGTTGTTTCACTCCGTAGTTATCTCAAGTGTATTTCGAGTATCTGTGTTAATTACTTTGACTGTTCCTTTAAATAAAAAAGTGTGAACGAAAAAAAAAAAACCCATCACTCTGATAGCATTTTAATGGTTATAATTTTGACAAAGCAAAAAATAAAAAAAATTATTCACAAGTTTGTAAAGTACACAAATTAATTGTTCAAATATATACAGTTTAGACAATGTTTTAAAATGATTCCCAACGATATAAAGTCACCGGCACACACATTGTTCCCTCAGAAGTTCCCACACCCTGGTAGAGACGTTCTTTTATCATCAGACTCTACATCCCCACCCCTCCCCCCACACATTGTTCCCTTAGCAGTTCAACATCAATCATTTCTGTCTGCACCCCGGTGTTGTCACTGATTTCCCCCCAAGTCTGTACTACATTCCCTGGGAGCTCCCACCATCCACACAATATATTCTACAGCATCTCCCCCTCCCCTGTCCATACCATGATCTCTTGAAACTCTCCCCACTGTCCACACTACATTCATTCTAATTAGACATTTCCCCGAGTCGGAATGCAGTGAGGATGCTGCGTAGTGTGACTTTTCTGGTGTCTAAGAAGTTTATATTTTTCAGGGAAGGATTTCTCGCACTCTGAACATGAATAAGGACGCTCACCCGTGTGAATTTTCTTATGTTTACTAAGAGTTGCTTTCTGAGTGAAAGATTTTCGGCACACTGCACATGAATAAGGACGCTCCAACGTGTGAGTCCTCTGGTGCCTAACAAGGGTTCCTTTCTCAGCGAAAGATTTCCCGCACTCTGGACATGAATAAGGACGTTCACCTGTGTGAACTTTCTGGTGTTTAACAAGGGATCCTTTCCCAGTAAAAGACTTTCCGCACTCTGTACATGAATAAGGACGCACAAACGTGTGAGTCCTCTGGTGTTTAATAAGGGTTCCTTTCTCAGCGAAAGATTTCCCGCACTCTGGACATGAATAAGGACGTTCACCTGTGTGAACTTTCTGGTGTTTAACAAGGGATCCTTTCCCAGTAAAAGACTTTCCGCACTCTGTACATGAATAAGGACGCACAAACGTGTGAGTCCTCTGGTGCCTAACAAGGGTTCCTTTCTCAGTGAAAGATTGCCCGCACTCTGAACATGTATAAGGGCGCTCACCTGTGTGAATTTTTTGGTGCTGAAGAAGGGCTCCTTTATGAGTGAAAGATTTCCCGCACTCTGGACATAAATAAGGACGCTCACCTGTGTGAGTCCTCTGGTGTATGAGAAGTTTATGTTTCCCAAAGTAATTTTTTCCACACTCTAAACATGAATAAGGACGCTCCCCTGTATGAGTCCTCTGGTGTTTAACAAGGTCGCCTTTCTGAGTGAATGATTTTCCGCACTCTGTACATGAATAAGGACGCTCACCCGTATGAATCCTCTGGTGTGAAAGAAGGGTTTTGTTTTTAGTGAATGTTTTCCCGCACTCTGAACACGAGAATGGATCCTCACCTCTGTGATCTCCTTCATGGGGTGAGGAAGGTTCCTTGGGATTAGATGGATCTCTTGCAGTGTGAGATCTTAGATGGATATTTCCAGTCATAGTATGTGAATGATCAGAAGATTCACCCTGATCAGAGGGATCCATTGATGTCTCCGAGCAGTGAGGTCTGTGATGTATATTTTGTATGTTTGGATTCACTCCTGGAGAATCCTGTGTGATGGCATTATCTTCTGACTTACAATCAGCAGATAATATAAGATGTCTCTCCGAGGTATTCCTGACATCACATCCATCTGCTGGAGAGAAATTATTACACACGTCACTAATCAGAGTCATGTATGTTGGTCTAGAAGTCATCACAGAGCTCTGGCATGGAATTGGGTCCAATTGTAACACCAAAATATGAAAACCAACCACATAAAGGAGACAAAACACATCTGACCCCCTGGAGACCATTGTACTGTTCATTCATGACCGCTATGGGGGGGATGAAGATGGACCTTCATATGGTGTACAGTATCTCCTCCTCATTTGTAGGTCACATGACGTTATATTGAGGAATGGAGATGGACCTTCATATGGTGTACAGTATCTCCTCCTCATTTGTTGGTCACATGACGTTATATTGAGGAATGGAGATGGACCTTCATATGGTGTACAGTATCTCCTCCTCATTTGTTGGTCACATGACGTTATATTGAGGAATGGAGATGGACCTTCATATGGTGTACAGTATCTCCTCCTCATTTGTTGGTCACATGACGTTATATTGAGGAATGGAGATACTCAGAAGTGACATAGAACTGTGACCTGTTCCCTCCATAGTGTCTGTTACTTACTTGTGTTGATCGGTAGAGAAATGTCATCCTGATCACTTTTCATCATCATCCCGACCTCCTCCGTGGACGGCTGGTCACCCCCCACATACGTCTCCACTTCTTCCTCTTTAATCTCAGCTTTTATATTGATCCGTTCTTCACCCTAAACCCAAAAGAATGCAGCTCCTCGTTCATTATTACATCATTAAATTAAATTTTTAGTGTAAGTACCTGAATGTGACTTGGTATCGGTCTCCTGTAGTTTCCATATGACAGACATGGGGAAGGAGAAGCAGCACAAGGAGCCAGTCAGCTGCACTGCAGGGATAATAAGAATCATGCTGACTGAAAGAGAGAGCGAAGTGACAGAGAGATGAGCTCATCACTCTGCTGCTTCTCATTTTTCTGTCCAGTCAAAGACTGGGGGAGGAACAAAACCAGCAGGTGTTACTGACCTGCAGCAGAGAAAAGTCATTTCAGGGCAGGTCTTCCACCCATTTTCTGTGAGCCTGGGAGGCCAGGGACCTTAACCTTGGAGGCCCATCATCACGCCGCCCTAGACTCACAGAAGCAAACAACAGCACCATGTCGTTTAGCATGTGCCCTTTGGAGGATACAAGGACGAAGAGGATCCATGATATGTGACTGGGCCCAAGACCCGTGGAAGAAAAGTATGTTTATTGATTTATAGAAAACAATAAAAGTGGGAGGACCTCCAAGGGGAAGTTGAAATGGAGTAAAGCAAACATGAAACCAATGGACTACATAAAAGAATATTGTGTCACAAAGTTCAGAATCACTTGTTTTCTACACACCGAGTCCCACTTACCTGACCATGGTGAGGGATGTTCTGATCTTCCTGTGTGGAATCCCGGGAATACAGAGGACGGGGACATCTCTCTGGTGGGTTTGTGTCACTGTACGGTTCCATCATAATCTTCTCCTCCTCTTTTATCTCTTCTTTAACATCATTATCACAATCACTCTGGTTTATACCCTGAATATTGAGGACAATGGGATCAGATGTAACAACATAGATAATGAAGAGGTAAAAATTTAATTATCAGCTATTATCTATTATTTCTCTATATAACCTTATGTGAGATGGTGAGATCTTCCTGTGTGGTCTAATGAAGACTTCCCAGAATCCTCCTGATCTGTATTTTAGAAATCAAATAGTCACATGATCTAAAGAAGACTCTCTGTAGAAAAATGCTGGATTGCTCAGAGTGTCAGATCTTGTGGGACAGTTCTGAGATTATGGACACTATCATGCAGTACCCATGCCTCCAACTCACATTTCACTTCTACACAGCACTTCCTGTGTATACACCTTCATCACTTCCTGTTTGTACCTTACATCACTTCCTTCTGTCTTCCACATGAGATCACCACCTTGTGTTGAATATAAATACTTCAGTCTCTGTCTTTGTGCTCGCTGCCTTCTGGTCTATTCCTCTATTACGTTATATCCATGAACTACACACAGATTATACCTCACATCAAATCCAGACAATACCAAAATAAAATTAAAAAAATGACAATGTAATAGGTTTTTTTGAAAAATGTATAAAAGGTGAAACTACATAATAAACCAACTCTATGGTTATAAATGTTTACAAACTTGTAATAGCACCGAGGAGACTCATTTTACAAAGCTTCAATACAAGTATAAGGAGTATTATTTTAGTGACAGCGCTGCTGTATATGTCAGAGCTATATACATGTATAATGATAGTCTGTGACTGTGGGGGGACATTAGAGTGTCAGCTCCTGTGTACAGAGACTGATGTAATCGGCTCAGTGTCCTCTGTACAGCACTGTGATATATGTTAGTGATATATCAATGGATAGTAATAATGTTTGTGTGTGGAGAGCAGAATCTGCCCGGTGACTAATCCCACTCTAATAGGTTACTGTGGAGGGAGTGCAGCCAATGACAGTGGAGGAGGTGTGAAATCTGAGGTAAATCTCTGTGGAGAGCAGAATCTGCCTGGTGACTCTGATCCCGCTCTGTGATTGGTTCCTGTGGAGCGAGTACCAGAGGAGGAGGTGTGAAGCGGGTACTCTGATTGGCTGTGAGGCTCCCCTCAGCTCCTTCTATCAGTTACTGAAGTCTGCATCTTGTTTTACGTTAGTGACAGAAGTGATGGCGGAATGTGGGGGAGGGAGGGGGGTTCAGTTCACTTCTTTCCAACTTGGAATTTCCTCACTACAAACCCGGAACCGGATGGTGGAGAAGTAAGTATGTTACACCTCCTTCTGTAATGATCCCTCTGAGACTCTACTGAATACAATGCCTGAGGTTTGTACACTTACCCAATATAGACCGGTAACACACACACTTACAGCGGCCAGGAGAGGACTGGCTGGGGCCTGGAAATCTCCGTCTCTCCCCTCTGCCAGTGTGAAAGCTCTGGTGTCTCCGGTCATGTTCTATGAGAAGCTTACTGCTAGACATAAAGCTTCTCTACATATAAGAAGACATGGACTCCTTGGATTGTCGCCTCCTTGCCAGCCTCCTTTATTATGGATTCCTGAACTCTCTAGTTTCCTGATCTGTATTGGGCTGGTTGGTGCTGCGTGCTATCTCCCTATTTGAGGGTTTACCCCCCTTGGATGTGTTCTGGACCTTTCGGGTTCCTGGCTTCCTCTGTCCCCTTTCTTCCCTCTCATCTGTGGAAGGCGGCTCTCCCTCTCCCCTTTTATCTCTCTTCCTTCTATTCAGTTTCCTTCTTCTCGCTTTTCTCCATATTCTCCTTTTCTCCGATACATTTTCTTTTTCCTATTCTCTCTTCTTAGTTTTGGTTTAGTGCTCCTTGCCTGGCCTGCCTCTTAGTGGACGTGGGCAGTTTGCTATGATTCACGTGTCACTTATATTGCCCCATGGATACTTGGGGACGTACGGGCCCCTCATAATGTGTGTATTTGGGATGTAGCACTTCATCACATTATTGGATCTCTTTGTTGTTTCACTCCTCAGCAATCTCAAGTGTATTTCGAGTATCTGTGTAATTACTTTGCCTGTTCCTTTATATAAAAACACGTGAGCGAAAAAATTTCCATCACGTTGACAGCATTTTATTGGTTATAATTATGAGAGCACAAAAAAATGATTCACAAGTTTATAAAGTACACACGTTCATTGTTCAAATATATACATTTTAGACAATGTTTCAAATTATTTCCCAATATACACGAGACTCATTTATACCACAGATTGTAACTTTCCCTCACACTGCCGGGAAACTATCACCAGGAATGAATGTAATAGAAAAGGAAATTACGATCTTATCAGATCCAGTCTCTTCCAAAGTTCTACAATGCAACCATGAAAAGTCACCGGCACACACATTGTTCCCTCAGAAATAGCCACACCTTGGTAGAGACCCCCCCACACATTGTTCCCTCAGCAGTTCAACATCACTCATTTCTGTCTGCACCCCTGTGTTGTCACTGATTTCCCCCCATGTCTGTACTACATCCTCCTCTAGGAGCTCCCGCCATCCACACAATATGTTCTACAGCAGCTCCCCTTTCCATACCATGATCTCTTTTTTTTATAAATTCTGTTTATTTTTACAGCATAACATGTTATGTCATTTACATGAAGTAGTAGGGGAGAGTACACATACAAAGCATATACATACATGCATGGGGTCAGTAAGCAAAAGTTACATGCATTTGGTAGTATTAATACCATCTCAGGGCTACACCGGGAGATTATCAAGAAGACCATGAACTATGGGCAAAACAGCCCCGTATTCTGGATCCACCATCCACACTACATTCTCTGACAGCTCTCCTCCCACCATCCACACTACATTCTCTGACAGCTCTCCTCCACCATCCACACTACATTCTCTGACAGCTCTCCTCCCACCATCCACACTACATTCTCGGACAGCTCTCCCCTCATGGTTTGCAGTAGCTTCTCTTGATAGATCCTCTCAGAGCCCACTGCACACCAATGAAAGGAACATTCTTCTTCCTGATAAACACTAATTTAAGAAAGTTCTTCTGCACTGACCACCTATGTGAGAAAGCCATTCACATACAGCTGTGCTCACATACATGTGATTACTTCCATACAAGGATGGGTGAGCATCTCTGGACACAGACTGTTTGCATCCAGGGCCGCTCATCTGTCCCTGTATGGATATAAATGATTGGATTTACATACAGCGGTGGCATCTGTCAGTCCGCTAATAATTAGAACAGACTGTTGCCTGCGGCTGAAGGAAAGCACCTGGAGACTCCTGGGGGCCACCCAAGTGCATAAACTCATTCATCTCTCTGTACAGGCCTCTGCACCCATGTGATGAGTCCGAGTGTTTTCATATCCTCCAGTTGTTCTATGGACAGTTCCACCTGATAAAAACCATCGTACATTTGTCATCAGAATCAGCAGGAACTTCCTCTCTGATGTGTTACAGATAAATTAAGTCTAATTAGACATTTCCCCGAGTCGGAATGCAGTGAGGACGCTGCGTAGTGTGACTTTTCTGGTGTCTAAGAAGCCGATATTTCTCAGTGAAGGATTTCTCGCACTCTGAACATGAGTAAGGACGTTCGCCCGTGTGAATTTTCTGGTGTCTAAGAAGTTTATATTTCTCAGTGAAAGATTTCCCGCACTCTGAACATGAATAAGGACGTTCACCCGTGTGAATTTTCTTATGTTTACTAAGGGTTATTTTATCAGTGAAGGATTTCCAGCACTCTGAACATGAGTAAGGACGTTCACCAGTGTGAATCCTCTGGTGCCTTACAAGGGCTCCTTTATGAGTGAAACCTTTCCCACACTCTGGACATAAAAAAGGGCGCTCACCTGTGTGACTTCTCTGGTGTCTAAGAAGTTTTTGTTTATCAATGAAATATTTCCCGCATTCTGAACATGAATGAGGACGTTCACCCGTGTGAGTCCTCTGGTGTTTAATAAGGGTTCCTTTCAGAGCAAAATATTTCCCGCACTCTGGACATGAATAAGGACGCTCACCTGTGTGAATTTTCTGGTGATTAACAAGGGATCCTTTCACAGTAAAAGATTTCCCGCACTCTGAACATGAATAAGGACGCGCAAAGGTGTGAGTCCTCTGGTGCCTAACAAGGGTTCCTTTCTCAGTGAAAGATTGCCCGCACTCTGAACATGTATAAGGGCGCTCACCTGTGTGAATTTTTTGGTGCTGAAGAAGGGCTCCTTTATGAGTGAAAGATTTCCTGCACTCCAGACATGAATGAGGACGCTCACCTGTGTGATTTCTCTGGTGTATAAGAAGTTTATGTTTCTCAAAGAAATATTTTCCGCACTCTGAACATGAATAAGGACGCTCGCCTGTGTGAAATTTCTGGTGTCTAAGAAGGTCATGTTTCCCAGTGAAAGATTTCCCGCACTCTGAACATGAGAATGGATCCTCACCTCTGTGATCTCCTTCATGGGGTGAGGAAGACTCCTTTGGATTAGATGGATCTCTTGCAGTGTGAGATCTTAGATGGATATTTCCAGTCATAGTATGTGAATGATCAGAAGATTCACCCTGATCAGAGGGATCCATTGATGTCTCCAAGCAGTGAGGTCTGTGATGTATATTTTGTGTGTTTGGATTCACTCCTGGAGAATCCTGTGTGATGACATTATCTTCTGACTTACAATCAGCAGATAATATAAGATGTCTCTCCGAGGTATTCCTGACATCACATCCATCTGCTGGAGAGAAATTATTAAATAATGTGGAAAGATCAGAAATAAGAGTCATGTATGTTTATCTGACAGTCAACAGTTTCCAAATATAAAAACCAAATGAGATAAAAGGATAAAAACACCCAAACCTATGACACACTGGGCAAAACAGTTTGTGAATTAATGAAAGCTATGGGGGGCGGGGGTAACGGAGACAGACCTTTTACTAGACTCTTGAGGAATCATGACGTTATATTGAGGAATGGAGATGGACCTTCATATGGTGTACAGTATCTCCTCCCCATTTGTTGGGGACATGACGTTATATTGAGGAATGGAGATGGACCTTCATATGGTGTACAGTAACTCCTCCCCATTTGTTGGTCACATGACGTTATATTGAGGAATGGAAATACTCAGAAGTGACATAGAACTGTGACCTGTTCCCTCCATAGTGTCTGTTACTTACTTGTGTTGATCGGTAGAGAAATGTCATCCTGATCACTTTTCATCATCATCCCGACCTCCTCCGTGGACGGCCGGTCACCCCCCACATACGTCTCCACTTCTTCCTCTTTAACCTCAACTTTGATATTGATCTGTTCTTCACCCTAAACCCCAAAATAATAGAAAACATCTCATAAAGCTGAACTCCGGGGAGATATAAAAGACACAAAGGAATGCAGCTCCTCATTCATTATTACATCATTAAATGTGTTTCTAGTGTAAGTACCTGAATGTGACTTGGTATCGGCCTCCTGCAGTCTCCATATAACAGACATGGAGAAGAAGAAGCAGCACAAGGAGCCAGTCAGCTGTACTGCAGGGCTAATAAGGGTCATGCTGACTGGAAGAGAGAGCGAAGTGACAGAGAGATGAGCTCATCAATCTGCTGCTTCTCAGTTTACTGTCCAATCACAGACTGGGGAGGGACAAGACCTGTACGTGTTACTTAACCTTGGAGGCCAATCATCACGTCGGCCTAGACTCACAGAAGCAAAGGACAGCAGCACATCATTTAGCATGTGCCCTTTGGAGGACACAATGACGAAGAGGATCCATGATGTCATGTGACTGGGCCCTAGACCCGTGGAAGAAAAGTATGTTTATTGATTTATAGAAAAGAATAAAAGTGGGAGGTTCTCCAAGGGGAAGTTGGAATTAAGTAAAGCAACTAAGAAACAAATGGACTACATAAAAGAATGTTGAGTCACAAAGTTCAGAATCACTTCTGTGTTCTATACACCGAGTCCCACCTACCTGACCATGGTGGGGGATGGTGAGCTCTTCCTGTGTGGAATCCAGGCAATACAGAGGACTGGGATATCTCTCTGGTGGGTTTGTGTCACTGAATGGCTTCATGATGATATCCTTAAAAGAATCTTTGTGTCCTTCTGAAAACTCCTCCATCACTCCAACCTTCTCCTCCTCTTTTATCTCTTCTTTAACATCATTATCACAATCACTCTGGTTTATACCCTGAATATTGAGAACAATGAGATCAGATAGTTACATAGTTAGTCAGGTTGGAAAAAGACACAAGTCCATCGAGTTAAGAAAAGCCTAAACAGGACACTGTGCCTACAATTACCCCGTGTTGATCCAGAGGAAGGCAAAAAAAAAACCCCTATAAAGCACGGTTCAATTTGCTCCAACAGGGGAAAACAAATTGCTTCCTGACCCCATAAGGTAATCAGATATTCCCGGGATCAAAAAACTCTGATGCTTAATATACCTGAAAGAAGTCAATATCCAATAATTTTCTGTGCATTTAGGATCACATCCAGGTAAATGAGCTCGCTAGAACTAGCTCCTGGGGGGAGTCTATTCCACATTGTCACAGCTGTAACTGAGAAGAATCCTTTCCATATGCAAAGGTTAAACCTCTTTTCCTCCAGGCGCAAAGAGTGCCCCCTTGTCCTTTGCAGTGACCTTACCGTGAATAATTTGGCACCAAGCTCACTATATGGGCCATTTAGGTATTTATACATGGTGATCGTGTCCCCTTCCTAATCGCCTCTTCTCCAGAGAGAACAAATTCAGGTCAGTTCATCTCTCCTCATAGCTGACCTCCTCCATGCCTCTTATGAGTTTAGTCTGGACTTTTTCGAGTTCCACAACATCCTGTTTAGGCTTTTTGCGAACTGGTGGCCAAAACTGAACTGCATTTCCAGATAAGGACTTCCTAATGCTTTGTACAGGGGCAGGATTATGTCTCTCTCTCTCTGGAGTCTATACCCCGTATAATACGAGGAAGTATGGAGACAGATGAGGTGTTACTAATGCTTTGTACAGGGGAAGGATTATGTCTCCATCTCTGGAGTCTATACCTCCTATAATACAAGGAAGGATGGAGACAGATGAGGTCTTACTAATGCTTTGTACAGGAGCAGGATGATGTCTCTCTCTGGAGTCTATACCTCTTATAATACAAGGAAGGATGGAGACAGATGAGGTCTTACTAATGCTTTGCACAGGAGCAGCATGATGTCTCTCTCTGGAGTCTATACCTCTTATAATACAAGGAAGGATGGAGACAGATGAGCTCTTACTAATGCTTTGTACAGGAGCAGGATGATGTCTCTCTCTCTGGAGTCTATACCTCTTATAATACATGGAAGTATGGAGACAGATGAGGTGTTACTAATGCTTTGTCCATGGGCGGGATTATGTCTCTATCTCTGGAGTCTATACCTCCTATAATACAAGAAAGTATTTTGCTTGCTTTAGAATCTGCGGCCTGACATTGCATGTTATTATTCAGTCTATGGTCTACCAGAACACCCCGATCTTTCTCCATCATTGACTCCCCCAAACATACTCCCCCCCTAGAGTGTATGACGCATGCATGTTTTTAGTCCCCAAGTGCAGAACTTTACATTGATCAACATTAAACCTCATTTGCCAAATAAATGTCCAATCACACAGAGCATTCAGATCAGCTTATAAGATGTAGACATCCCGTAAGGACACTACATAACTTGGTGTCACCTGCAAACACAGACATCGTATTTTTATTCCCCAACTCCATGTCATTTATAAATAGATTAAACAGTAAGGGGCCCAACACTGAACCTTGGGGGACACCACTGAACATTGGGGAACACCACCACCAACACTGAACCTTGAGGGACACCACTAACACTGATTCTTGGGGGACACCCACTAACACCCTCAGACCATTTAGAGTATGATGTAACAATACAGATAATGATCAGGTCAAAATGTAAGTATCATCTATTATTCATTATTTCTCTAACCTGTATTTAAGATGCACAACAAACATGAAACTAATGGACTACATAAAGGAATGTTGTGTCCCACCTACCTGACCATGGTGAGTGATGTTCTGATCTTCCTGTGTGGAATCCCGGGAATACAGAGGACGGGGACATCTCTCTGGTGGGTTTGTGTCACTGTACGGTTCCTTCATAATCTTCTCCTCCTCTTTTATCTCTTCTTTAACATCATTATCACAATCACTCTGGTTCATACCCTGAATATTGAGAACAATGAGACTAGATGAAATAAAACAACGATTCGGGACGTGCCAAAATATATCCACTATTATCGATTATTTCTCTATTTCACCTTATGTGAGATGTTGTGATCTTCCTGTGTGGAATCCCGGGAATACAGAGGGCGGGGACATCTCTCTGGTGGGTTCCTCTTACTGGATCCATCTGTAGGAAACACACACACTGACTGAATACATTGTTTCTATGTGTGTATCAGATGATGGGGGATCTAGGTGGACCCTCTGTACTGCTCTCTCCTCTTACCCGGTGATGTGAGGGGCGGCTCATTCTCCATCACGACGTCCTTGTAGAGATCCCGGTGTCCTTCTAGATACTGGAAACTTCCAGAATATTTTATCACGGTTTGTCTCTGTTGTCAGGCGGTGAGGTGGAGGCTCTGTGATGGGTGATGTCTGCTGAAGACACTTGCTGAGTGTTAATGGCTCACAAGATATATTGGTCAATATTCTGTAATCCTGTTTGAAGGAAGAAGGTAACAATTATCAATGAAGACTTCCCAGAATCCTCCTGATCTGTATTTTAGAAATCAAATAGTCACATGATCTAAAGAAGACTCTCTGTAGACAAATGCTGAATTGCTCAGAGTGTCAGATCTTGTGGGACAGTTCTGAGATTATGGACACTGTACTGTATGCACTTCCTATGTATACACCTACATCACTTCCTGTTTCTACGTGTACATCATTTCCTTTCTGTACCTTAGATCACTTCCTGTAGGTGGCTACCACGTGAGATCACCACCTTGTGTTGAATATAAATACTGCAGTCTCTGTTATGTTTCATCGTTGTGCTCGCTGCCTTGTGGTCTATTCCTCTATTACGTTACATCCATGACTACACACAGATTATACCTCAGGGAGCACTGAGCCAGTCACATCAGTCTCTGTACAGAGGAGCTTACACTCTAATGTCTCTCCATGGTAACAAACTATGTGACTGGCTCAGAGTTCTCTGTACAGCACTGCAGTATATGTCAGTGATATATAAATGGATAATAAAGAGGGTGTCTGTGGTGAGGTCTGAGGTAAATCTCTGTGAGGAGCAGAATCTGCCCGGTTACTCTTATCCCGCGCTGTGATAGGTTACTGTGGAGGGAGTGCAGCCAATGACAGTGGA